GTCTGTTCATCTTGTAGCATATGTCAGAATTTAATGCCCCCTTTTTTTGTTGGCTGAATAATATTCTGGTGTATGCCTATACCTTGTTTATCCATTCATCTGTCAGTGGACATCGGGTTGTTTCTCCTTTTGGCTGTTGTAGATAATGGTGCTATAACCGTGCGTGTGCAAAATACTTGTTTGCATTCCTGCTTTCACTTCTTTTGGGTATGATTGAATTTTATACTGTGAAAGAGGTTCTGGAGGGTGTGTTGGCATAAGATCTTACATTGTTGACTGTTCACAAGTGCCCCATTTCGGCTTTGTTTTTGCTCTTTGAGTACTAGGACTGTCTTCTAGGTTCAGCACTGAGCAAGGTATCTGCGTATTGTCTGAATCATTTCTGGAGTTCCTAGCTCAGGGCCATTATTGACTGAAGTAGTTGGTCTCCAGAATGGTGTTTTTTGGGGGCAGGGGGGTTGGCTCATTAATTGACATGTGTTCAGGGAACAGAAAACAACTTTTAATATTAGCCTTAGTCAAACATAATTAGGGAAGTACATTCTAATGCAAAGATTTCTGATGTAGATAAAACCCAATTCAGCAAACATCTGTTGAGAACTTGCTGTATACCAGACACATTTCAAAGTGTGTATAATTCCAGAGCAATTTAAAAACTCAGTTGGAATGCTTTATTGGTATTGGATTTTGAATATAATAACAGTAGGAAGGTAAGCATATGTGTACACACACACATCTTTTAACATGAATCTCCATAGTCTTTTTTTTTATCCTCACCTGAGGACATTTTTGCATTTATTTTCAGATAGAGCAGGAGGGAGAGAAGGAGGAAGAGACAGAGAGAAACATTGATGTGAGAGAGACACATCAACTGGTTGCCACCCAAACGACCCCAACCGTGGCCGAGGACAAACTGCAACTGAGGTATATGCCCTTAGTGGGACCCGAACCCTGGTCTCTCTGGTCCACGGGCCGATGCTCTAACCAGCCAGGACTTTTTTTTTTTTTATTGTGAGAACATTATAAAAACATTCAAGATAGTTTGGAAAAGAGAATAAGTAACAGTCCCTCTCTAATATAAGCTCTATTGCATTTTAATAGTGTGAGTTTGAGGGTTGAATTTATGAATAATTTATTTTGAAAATAAAACCATGAATTCTTCTGGTGGTAATGATTTTAAAAATTTATTTTTTAAAACCCTAGGAGTAAAGCATAAACTAGTGATCTCAACTTAGAGGCTCCTTTTTTGCAGGTGTCCAGGGAGTTTCATTGGATGAATTCAGCCACTTCCTTTGCTTAGTAAAGGGGCAGAGTGGACTTTTGTGCTCTGCTGGGTCTAGGTCAGTGGACTGTTGACATCTGTTATAGGGACTGGTGTTTAGGACCTGTCCCTCCTCGGTCCTTTATATGTTCAGGGACAGAAGCGAGTGTTCTCAGGACAATGCTAGGGGGAAAAAGTACAATTTATAATTCTTACTCTGAGGCCTCTAAGACCTTGGAGTAGGTAAAGAAGGTAAGATCTGGATGAAGATCACTACTGAGCATCTGTACAAACCACATGGTTGATGTTGGTGGGAACAACATCCAGGAAGACTGGGCTTTCCACTTGACCGGGAGGGAACCCATAGAGTGGGTGTGTCCTGGGGCAGGGGCAGAGAAATGAGCATGCCAAGGAGTAAGAGTATTTGCAGGCTCCTTAGCCAGACGGCCTAAGGGTCTGTCTTATTAGAGAGGCAGCTTGGATCCGGAGGGAACAGCTAGAAATGAATTTCATGAAAGTGCTTTGTAAGCTGTACCTGAGGTCAGTGTTAGCTGCTGTCTCTGTTAGGGTTTTGTGACAGGGAGTGGGGTTGTTAAAAAGGTGGTGTTTTCAGCTGATGAATTTCAAGGTTATGAAGTAGGATGAGTTGGGGCGGGGTGAGCAGAGGCTGGAGGCGTGGAGACCTGTTAGGAGAGGATGTGATCTCCACTGTGAGGTGGTCAGTGACTGGCTAATCTGGGGTGGGGACGCAGGCGTAGAAAGGATGTGTGGTAGAGATTTTGAAGGAAAGGTTGCTGGGACTTGCTGCCAAGCAAGGGAGACATAAGGCGGGACCCATTTGGGAAATGATGGAGCCAGGCACATCCATAGGAAGTAAGTCAGGACTGATTGGAGGGGTATTAAGAGGTTCAGTTTTTAGAATAATTGTGTTGACTATTATTTACATGTTTTCTATGTGCCCAGGCACAGTCCTGATGCTCTACATAGCAGCCTTATGAATATAGGTGCTACTGCTGTCCCTACTTTACAGGTGAGAAAAAGGAGGAAGAATTGATTAGTAACTTGCCTAAGGATTACATACTTAGTAAATGGCAGAGCCAGGATGCAAATCTAGACAGTCTTAATTCAAGGACCAACTTCTTGCCTAGTATGCTTTACTGCTTCTCTGTAATAGCTAGCATTCATTCAGAAACTGCTCAGTCCTGAGTTAAACTCCTTGCATGTATTTACTACATTCGACTCCCATAAGAGCTCCCATGAAATAAAGGTATTTTTAACATCATTTTTCAGACGTGAGAACTTGGACACAGAGAGGTCAAATGTCCTGCCTTAAGTCACACAGCCAGGCCTTGCCTACACTGGCATAGTAGGTTTCCGGAAGTCAGCAATATTTATTTGCCTGGAGTGCAGTATTTACATATGTCCTTAAGATCCAATCATGAGAAATTGACTTGATTGGAATACTTGAGATATAAATTCTTTAAGATGTTTTGAATTGAATTTACTGTCAACGTCACTCTTAATCACTTGGAACTACTCCCATTTTAAAGGGGATAAATAAGTAATAGTGTCTCTATTGCTGTGCCCATTTTTATTATTTAATACTCTGGATGACTTTGAAAATAATCCCAACCACTTCCTTTCCATATTCTGGCTATTCCATTTAGATGCTGAGACTACTGGGTACAGATCGACTCACTATAGCAGTTGTTGGTGCTTAATAACATTTGATGATTATAATTGACCCCATTGTTATCGTCTACGAGTCAAGGCTGCTAAGTGTCTTCTGATCTGGGGTGTATTTTTCGTGACATTTTAGAGGTACAATTGATGTGATGGTTGAAAAGCACCCTGATAAAATATTTGTCTGGGTAACAAACTGGACTTGAGACTGGTCATCTATAAATGGGATGATTTCAGCCCTTTAGAGCACATTTAGTCTAGACTCTTTCTTTTACCTTCAAATGTCCACAGGTCTTTGATTTCCTTCCATTTCAGTCTTTGACTAGAGATCTGTTTTTCTGCTTCCTCTTGCTATAGCTCTTCAAGGACAGGTCTACACTTACAGCCTTTAACCTTGGAGCAAACAAATTCCCACTCAACTGATTTGTACTGTTGGATTTCCTGTGGTCTCTTTCTAACCAAATTTGGGGACTTTTGTTCATATTCACCCCCTTTAATCTTGTTCAGCATCTGCCCTCAGACCCACCCACCTTTCTTTGAAACCTCTGATCTGTTGTCTTCCTTGAATCTTTTGCCTTTCCCCTTTCTTTCTGGGGCCTTTTCTTTTTAAGTCTCTCTTGACTCTTTCCTACACCCTCTTAACTGGTACTCAGTGTGTTTCTCTTTTTCCTGCAAATCTTTCCCCTTGATAATCCGATTCCAGTCTCTGAACTGTATACATTGTTGCTCTGCCTCCACCATCTGAATCTCAGGTTGTGAGGGGAGAAGCCCATCTACCGCCCAGGCAGCGCCTGGGAGCAGGTCTCTTGCCTCTTCTGTGCCTGTGCCTTTCCTCCTGTGTGTCCATCTCCCCGCCCCAGCCATCCGGAACTTGCAGGGAGTCTCCTGGTATGGCTTCCTTTGCCTTCCACCAGCCCCTTTCTCCACCCAGCTTGCATGGCTTTTACTCCTCCTCCAGAACTCAGGTCAATTCTTGTCTGCAGCCTTGTATGTGTGTGGAGGGGGCACATGGACTCTGCACACAAGCCGTTTCCTCCACACACCTGCTTAGTCTTACCTCACATGATCTCCACAAGGAACCCGATTTCCATCCAGGCTGTGTTCTCTTCCGCCTCTTCTTGATAGTGTCAGGGTCCAGCCCACCTCTTACTTTTTCTCCAGCTTAAACCCAAAGCTGGTAGCAACGTCTCACTTATTTTGACACTCGAGCAGTGTGCTGAAGCTCTAGAGTCAGGACCACACGTCACACTTACATGGACTTGCTCCCAGCACCTCCGAAGGTGCTTCTGCAAATCATAAGATTATAATTACTGAACAGGTATTTGTATTTCTGCAACAGAGGCATGAATGAATGAGTGAATTGACTGCTGTGAATTTTCTAAGATTCAACTTTCATATTCAGAGTCTGAAGTCTCCATAAACTACGTTCCTACCTAGGAAACCTGTCTAGGCATTAGGTTGATCAGGCCCCCACCCAACATTTGCCATGAAGCATCTCGTGTCTGATCTTTAAAATGGGATTTTTATTTTCTGCCTTATTGTTTGAAACTTATAAATCATTCTCCTTTTGATGACTATTGTTATATAAGGAGAACTACATAGAAATCACTGAATTCCCAAACTTTAAGAAAAAACCAAGCTATGTCACGGTCACGTGCACTTTGCCAAAAGAGTGACAGGCCGATCATTTTTCCCTAGAGTGGGATTTTGTTTTTAAGCTGGGTGTCAGCGTGTTAGTATCACTGCAGTGGCCCATATTCAGAAAGGAAACTTGATCCAGCTGTATGTTTAACCCAGAGAAGGCCGTGGCATCCAGCAAGTCTCAGCTCGTAACACCAAGTGTGACCCTCAGGATTAATTGCGGGTTGCAGAAAATAACTTAATTTTCTAGGCGAACTTAAGAAACTTTAAACAGAACTCTTTCTGACTATAAATAGCAGGGCAGCTTTGTCCTATTTTTATTGTACACAGAAGATGGAAATCAATATTGGAAGAAAGGCTTTATTTCGCCAAGGAAAAAGATCATACTCAACACGATTCTCGTTTTTCTTGGCAGGCTCTTCTCCACCATCTGTGAGTCCAGGGGAACTGTCTCCACCATCCATCCATCCAGCAAAATCAGAGTTAATAGTCAGTGTTGGCGACGAGATTAGGCTGCTATGCACCGATCCGGGATTTGTCAAATGGACTTTTGAGATCCTGGGTCGGCTGAGTGAGAAAACACACAATGAATGGATCACGGAGAAAGCAGAGGCCACCAGTACTGGCAATTACACGTGCACCAACGAGGGCGGCTTGAGCAGTTCCATTTATGTGTTTGTTAGAGGTAAACGTTCAGCTTTCTTTGATGCTGTGCTTCAGAGAACTTAATATCCTGTTCTTAATTATGGATGACATATAGATGACTAAGCCACAGATAAAATATTACTGGCTGGGTCTAGAAAGCCTAAAACAAATTTTCTTTGTTAGTTTCTCCATCTTTTGATACATAGTGCCTTTGAGTATGAGTCTAGCTGAAGATCTGCAAGGCTGTGGCACCCTTCCTAATGAGATTGCAATATGGCCAGCCCCGTGGCCCTGGTGCTCTGGGTGAACCCTGAGAATAAATTAGGCCCTTTGGGAAGGCTGCATTTTAATGCCTTGAGATCTCAGATACTCCCACTTAGTAAAAAACGCTTCAGGGAACTAAAGGTCTCTCAGGGCCCAAACAAGACGAACACTTCCAGAGAACTGACCCACTTTTAAGGAATAAACTCAGAAAAATAACTCAGTCAGCAAAGCACCCCATGTCCTTCCTAGGTTCTTTTTTTTCAAAATTAATTTATTTTTGTTCCTAGGTTCTTAATAGATGTCAGTTGATTCATTTAAAAAATTGTGACCTCTTAGAAACAAAACAAAACAAATATGATAGTTGAATTTCTAGAACTCATTTCCTGTGATGAATTCAGTGATTCATCTCTGTTTATGCTTTTAATATCTTTGTCAAGCGGAGGTTTGCTGGGGGTGGGGTGGGGGCGGGGGGGGGGGGGGAGAGGAGCACCATTTTGCTGATGTGAAAATGGAAGCACTTGAAGCGAAGAGACACAGCCAGGTTATAAAGAGCAGTGTAGGCCCACTTCCAGTCCTGGGCTTGTGCCTGGACTGGGGCTGTCACTGAAACAGGCCTGAGTAGGAGGCCTCGTCCATGGTATTGTGGAAGAATGATGAATACATTTATCCCAAATAGTAGACCTGAGCAACCTCAAGGGTCTCAGTTCCCTACAAAATTTGATAAGATTACCTGCTCTGTCTTCTTTACCTAATTGTCATTAGGGAGACAGAATTGTGCACATTCTAGCTTTATCAGGGTTAATAAGTTTGACTCACATGGTTGCCATGAAATTGACTTTGCCTCGGTTTGTATGTTGTCCTTTCCTGGTTGGGTGGCTGAAAAGAAACACACATTCATAGGCCACAGCTTGGCCTCTGGCATGGTTCTGTAATTGTTGGGCCAACCTGTGTGCTGTTCTTTGACAGAGGTACTCTGTATTTTCCAGGTGGTAATAAGTATCATTCTGCTTATTAATAGGATGGGTAGACAACTGACTAAATGGGGAAAACTGCTGAAATTGGCCAAATCAGTCTCACAGAACTCATGAATTTTCTTTATAGAGGAAGTCATCCATAATTTAGAACTGTACTTAATTATTACTGATTTAAGATGTTGTTTGGATACTTACATAGTCTAGGTTTTTTTTTTATTGTTGAAAGTATTACAGATGTTGTCCTTTTATCGCCATTGATCCCCTCCTCCCTGCTCCCACCCCCCCTCCTGCTTTCCCCAAACTAATGTCTGTGCCCATTTGTTGTGCATATATGCCTGTAAGTTCTTTGGTTTATAGCAGTGTAACTCAAGCAACTAAGAAAGAGTAGATGGAAAAAAAACTAACTCTGGTCTTGGACCATTGTTCACCCATCATGAAATTAATTTATTTGCAGAATAAATGTAAGGCTGGGAGGCCCATAATTAATTTTGGAAACCTCTTTTTCAAAATTGGTCAAAATTAAATGGTAAGAAGTATATTTCGATGATAGTAAATTGATTTTTGTGGAACATCTAACTTCCAGATGGAAAAGATAACTAAGAAACAAATTTTAAATGTAATCTGTTGGCCCAGCCGTTTATCTGCATTATCTGTACACAGTAAAGGGTGGCAGCATACTGTGTATACAGAATGCGGTTTGTCTTTGCTTATACGGGGTCCCAGTCTGTCTGAGGGTTTCCCAGTCCCTCAAACCCCCTTTCACTCACAAGCGTTCTGATTTAGAAGATAAACATTTGCCACAGTATTCCTGAAACTCATAAATTAATTATTTGATTTTCAGAAGGTATATTTAAACTTACCTTGAAGGAGTTTGAATAGAGTGAGGCCCACATGTTATATGTATAGGGTGGCCAGCTGATACTTTTCTAGATTCTGTTCAGAAGCTGAAGATTCTGGAGGCTGGGAACTCTGGAAAGGGCCCAGCCGGAGGGGTTATCAGACAGCTTATTCTTGGCCCATGCTCCTGGAAGTATTACTTGTTGCAGAAAAAAGAGTGATGGTTTTAATAAAATAGTCTCCGTTTTGAGTGTACATATTTTGTTATCAGTCAGAGCTGGTTTGACTTCTGCCCATTTCCAGGCCATGTCTCTTTAGAAGAGTCACTCTTTGGAGACTTAAGTTTCTTCATCTATAAAATGGAATAATGATAATGCCCATTACATAAGGGTCTTGTGAGAATAAAATGAAATATACAAAGTGTGTAATGGTCTAAGCTTAGTGCCTGACACATGGAAAGTGTTGAATGAACATTAACTTGTACCTGTTAGTATTATTTGGATAAATTCTAGTTTTGCCTGCAAAGAAAAAAGTCAGCAGCCGTTTGATCCACTGGGAATTGTTGTGATGAAAGGTAACATTTTTGATCTTTTAGAAGTGTTTTCGGTGCCTGTATCAGCCATTCAAACCACTAATTTTTGATATGCTATAGATCCTGCAAAGCTTTTCCTTATGGACCTTCCCTTGTATGGGAAAGAGGGCAATGATACACTGGTCCGCTGTCCTCTGACTGACCCAGAAGTGACCAATTACTCCCTCACGGGGTGCGAGGGGAAGCCTCTTCCCAAGGACTTGGCGTTTGTCGCTGACCCCAAGGCCGGCATCACCATCAGAAACGTGAAGCGCGAGTACCACCGGCTCTGCCTGCACTGCTCCGCCGACAGGAAGGGCAAGCCAGTGCTGTCGAAGAAATTCACCCTCAAAGTGAGGGCAGGTATGGACTTCATTGCTTTCTCCCAGGAGTCAGAGCGCCCGCTGCCTAAACAGGACCTCTCTCTTCTCAGTGTAGTCAGGCAGCTGGTGCTTCAGTTCCCCCAGCTTCAAAGTAATGGCCACTGCTTGCGAATTCTTTACTCCCTGGTCCCGACCTCATGGGACCAGCCCGTGACTGCCTTCAGCTGGGTGTGTCTGCCACAGATTGGCATTTAGACCGGACTGGGGACAGTCATTACACCTACTGACTTTAGGACACGTCAGAGTTTCATAATTGCATGAAGTGTTCCTTCCAAGAGAAACCCATGGGGAAGCTTTCGTTACATTGTTTGAGAAGATTAGCATGTCGATTTTTCACTCCTTGATTTGCTATTGATATATGAGCTGACTTTCTCCTCAGCTCTTTAATATTAAAGCATTCTCAAACTAGTCATAATCTGAGAAAGAAAGTACCACCTAATTGTGGACCTCATGCCTATGGTGACATTATGTAGCAGCAAGATATCTAGATTTTGTACCTCAGAGATCATCTCATCCAACACTAGTTGGCACTCAGTTATTGAATGGTTTTTATTAAGGCTTTTGAAAAAGTATGCTCCCTGGAATTAAGGAAAATTTGATTATTTAAGACCTGGGATTTTCAGAAAGAAGCAGGATACTATTTTTATAACACATGGGAAAAGATGCCTGTTGGGTTAAAAGGATATAATCAGTTGTTGGTCACATCCTCATGAAACTGTCACTGTTGTGTGAGATGAAGACCGGAACTGGTCCACTATGCCTGGGCTTCCAACCGTTTAGAAATAACATTGTCCAGGGCATTATAATCTCAAAGTAGACCTTCCTATCTTTTTCACTCAGTATTAATGAATTTATGTGAAGGATGCATGATTTAATTGCTGATGTCTTTAGATATGCAAGTAGTACAGATCAATTAGTACCATACTTTATATTTTGCTTTAAAGATGCCAAAAGAAGCTGTGTGCATTTGAGGAAAACAGGTAAGTTAAAATGTCATGCTCTGATAGGACAACTTATCTGAGGGCCACGTCTCTTTCTGTTCCAGCCATCAGAGCCGTACCTGTGGTGTCTGTGTCCAAAGCAAGCTATCTCCTTAGGGAAGGGGAAGAATTTACAGTAACATGCTCGATAAAAGATGTGTCTAGTTCTGTGGACTCAATGTGGATAAAGGAAAACAGCCAGGTGAGTGAATTGTTTCCTTTGTTATTCTCAATGTATCATTCTTTCCATGTGGGAGATTTTCACATTTGTTTTTGAAGTCTGTTAATTGTCCTGGGGGGTGGCTCAGCTGGCGTGTCTGTCTGAGGTGGGACTGTCTGGGAGTGTAGAGATGCATATTTTCCCCTTTCATAACACCATATGTGGGTGTGTACACTTACTATTGTAACAAGTAAACATCATTTTATAAATTTGTTTTAGAAAATCTAAGAGAGAACGTCGGAATTATGTTATTATTTCACGCTGTTTCTTTGAATGACTTCAGTAGGGAAATTAGGAAAAAAACGAATGGTTAACTGCATAAATACCTTGATTTTCAAAGCTACTACTAATGCTGTTCAGGCCAGATTATTTAAAATATTGGGAAGACTTGTCAATTATTTTCCTTCCATATTTAAAAACAATGACTGATCTCAGATATTAACCAGGAAGCTCTTCTCTCCCCCACAAAGTGGCTCATCCATTTGAGGAGATGGGTTTCTTTTTGTATGGATCAGATTTCCTCCTTTGAGACCGGTTACCTGAGATCAAGTTGCTAATGGTTTTCTATTTGTTTTAGTTGCTATTAATAAAATGGTTATCTTTAATCTGAAACATTTGGACATGTTTAAGTTCTCATTCATTTAACAAATGCGTATTGAATGTCTACTATATGTCAGATTACTGTGTTAGGCATATCCTGAAGTTAAATAACATTTTAGCCAGTTATATTTGAAGTTTTTTTTCCCCCCTCTAAATAATTATATTAATAGCAGGGTCTTTAAAATGTCTTATTTCCCTAATATTTTGTTTATAATTTTCATTGACCGAGTTCTCAGTAATTTTTGTTCGAATAATCTTGGCCATCTAATTAATAACCTTAATTAGCTGTCATGGTGATTTTTCTTCAGTATAGATTATGCATTACATTGGTAAAAAATGCTATATTTTTCTCCTCTTCCTCCTCATGCCCTATATTCAACAATGGCAATCTCATGCCTTTTAAAAGAGTCTTTGCTAAGCAAAGTAACCGTGATGATTAGCATAATGTAAAGCATCATGATGGTATTCATGTAGACCTGTGATGGATGATACCTTGCTAAATGAAGCCTGCCATGGACTAGGAGAATGGATTGTCCTGTAGACTTGTTCTTTCAAACCAGTGGCTCAGAGAAATAAGTTTTAGTTTCCCTATCATATAATTTAATAAAAAAACAATACTTATTTATGGACTTTTCACTAGCCTTACTGAACATATTCCTGTATTAATTGGCGTTCTATACTTTTTTATTTCAGGTGAGAACAGTTTGGTCTGTGTGTGTATTTGAGCTTCAGTATAACTTGAAAATTAGCCTCTTTGAGATGAGAAATTAAATTGCTCCAGGCAGTTTTGTTCTGAACCATTTTCCCAAGAGCCCTGCATGCCATTCCCAATTAATCCACTGGCGCTGGTAGATAAGCCTTCAGTGTTGGGAGCTCTTTGGGGAAATCCCACTGTGCACCTCCAAGGGTTAAGGAAAACCAAATCACGTGCAAGCAATATGTGATGTGTGACTTGCAGATGGGGCTCATGGCTGTGTGCCAAGGTTCATCTATGAATCTTTTATTGATATCCTTCGGCTTAATTTGGAATACTTAGCACAGTTAGCACTATCAAATTATCTTAAAAATCCATACTGTTTGATGCTGACCATTTAGACTAAGCTGAGCTCCCAGTGAAATTTAGAGTAAATTGTTTTAGAGTTTTTGCAGTTGTTTTGTTTTAAAATGTAAGAGAATCGGGAATTTATGCAACACTTATACATCTTGGTTAGCATTTCTAATGCTTATAAACCCTTGTGTTTTTACTTGGTTTTGATTATGATCTTTGACAGTATCCAAAATGATGGTCTTTCCATTTCAGTGTTGATCTTGCACCATTTATAACCAAGCTATTCCTTTGGCACTGACATTTTCAGTGTCTGTGTGTAGTTCCCTATTGTAGACTCTTGGACTCTTGCAAGAACTAAAAGAAAGATACCTGAAATCTAGAATATGATATGGTATCTGTCCATTGTCACTCTACCTTTGCAGAAGACAAGTCTGTGACATGATGGACAGAAAGGCTCAAGAAAATGTCACTTCACCTCGCTATTACATCTTCTTAACAATTGGTCATAGGCAGTGAAGTGGCAGATGTCTGCCAATTAATTATTAGAAGGATCTCTTAGAAGGGAGTATTTTTAAATCTACATAGTGCTTCTAATTGGAGAGGCCTTTAAAGACCCTTGTTCCTTCATTCCCTTTTAGAAACAAAAGACTGGTGGTATTTTTGACTTGTTCAGGATCTCACAATTAGTTAACAAAAAGAAGATTTCTTTTTATTTCAAAACATTCACCTTTGGCAGTCAGTGTCTATGTGTGCTTATTTTAATGTAAAGAAAATTTCCAAAACTATAACATGAGAAAGAGAAATAGATACAGTCCCACCACTGTACAGTGGAAATGTAACGTGAGCCTCCTGTGTAACTTTAAATTTTCTAGGAGGTATATGACAAAGAGTGAAAAAGCAGAATTGATTTTTAATAATATATTTTATTTGACCCAATATATTGAAAATATTATTTTATTATGTAATTACCATGAAATTATTAAAGGGATATTTTATATTATTTTTTCATTTTAAGTCTTCAATACTTGGGACATATTTTATATTTTAGACAACTCAATTTGGACCATTACATTTCAAGTGCTCAGCAGGCCCATGTGGCTAGTCCGTATAAGATGCTATATTGCCCACATTTTTTCCTATTTCTTTTATTTCTGTCCCTGTGCATATGTGTTATCACATGGTCGCAGTTCTAAGTTACGCTCAATTTATGTTTTTTAAGTAATATAAACATTTTCTCATTTTCACCTAGTCATTATTTTAATACCTGATATACATTTAGTTCATTTCCGAGTTTTCACTGTAGTAAACATCTTAGAGCTTTTTGTTGTTGTCGTTGTTGTTTCCTTGAGATAAATTTGCTGGCGTGATCAGGGTCTGAACATGCTGTGGAGTTGCTTTCTGGAGGGTTGTTCTGAGGTACAGGCTGTCAGGGTGGTCTAGCGCTGATTGGTTCACCGTGGCCCGGCCAGCCAATCACCCTCGATCTCCATCCATGTCCTATCAGCTCCTATTTACTTTCCTTTTTTAGATTCCCCTCCCTCCATTGTGATAGGAATGTGTCACATGTCAGAAAAATTGGAAAAGACAGAAAGCTATATGTGACTCCTTTTAATCTTTTCAGAGAATGGCTATAGTTTATATTATGGTTTTTTCCCATGATGTTTCCCATACAAGAAATCTCTCCATGTCATGTCTTCAGACAGATAGTAGTAGGATGGTGATATCACAAGGGTGAATTCACAGCCTTTTTTCTCCAGCTCATGCTTAAATAATTTGGAGCTTGGATTTATGTGTATTATATACCTTGGAACTCCCTTGGAAAGCTGCCAAAATTCTGCTTGGTAAAAACTGTAGAGGGAATTTTCAAGTTAGTTGTAGACTTTGTGATTATATTTTTTATTCATGAAAAGAATATACATGTTAATAAAATAGAACATGATTATTATTAGCAATGTGTTTCTTTCAATCACTGGAATATAGAGTAGAAAAAACATAACAGGAAATATCGATATAAGTATGCTGACTCATTGTAAAATATCAGTATTCTGCAATACTGCACTGATATAGTGACTTTTCAGATTTGGCACTGTTAAAAATATTTAGCACTACAGAGAATTTGGAATTATGTATGCTATGGTTATTAAGAAATGAATTTTCATGTTTTTCCCAATCATTAATAATGACTATCTTTCAATATAATCCTGTAATGTGAAGTGTTCCAATGACAGACTTGTCATGATGCTTTATTATTCTTACTTAAGTAGTGTATAATGAATGCTAATATGGAGAAGTTAATTGCTGCTATTTTTAATTTATCTAGGAAAGATCCTGAATATAAAGTTTATGGTAATCTTTGATTTTTTTTTTTCTCTCCTTCTGAAACCAGCACACTAAAGCACAGGTACAGAGTAATAGCTGGCATCAGGGTGACTTCAATTTTGTACGTCAGGAAAGGTTGACTATTGGCTCAGCAAGAGTGAATGATTCTGGAGTGTTCATGTGTTACGCCAATAATACTTTCGGATCAGCAAATGTCACAACAACCTTGGAAGTAGTAGGTAAATATCTCTATGGGAATGTATAAAATACCGGCAGTAGTAAAAGAAGAAATTACTAGTTTCCTTTTTATGTAAATGAGATGTTGAACAGATTCATTTAGACATTTTTACTGTCACCAAATGAATGAATGAATGAATGAATGAATGAATGAATGAACGAACGAACGAACGAACGAACGAAAATTGTAGCCTCTTCCAACTAGAGCACAAAAGCAAATCCACCTGTTAAACAGAGGGAATTGGAAAGCTGTAACTGAAGTTGTTCAAACCTTTCATTCTCTTTGCTACCCACCCACTCCTCCCCACCAAACAAATAAAGCATAAGTTGAGCTTCTTCAAAAATTCTAGTCCTCGCCAAATGACTTGAGTTTGGAAATGGATGTAGAGTCTCTCTGTTGAGGAGTGAAAATGCTTAGAGCCCAAAGTATTTCTCTGAATCTTTTGGTGGGGCCCCTCAGCCTTTTGGTTTATTGTTTTTACCGCCCATGGCTCTAGCTCATTTGTATCAAGAAGGGATGAATTGGGTGTCTCCCCACCCCACCTCCATCCTCAAGAGGCTGTAGCATGAACCTTCAGGAAGGATGTCACAGGGACATGGGACACTGGTTCTATAGAGCATAAACTGGAACATGGTAACCTATGCCCCTGACCCCATCATATCTGATATACACATTGGTTTAGCCTTTTCTTCCCTACTCTAGAAATTTCACTAAATGTGAATTTTCCAAGCATCTACTTAAAGAGAGCAGAATGTAGTGAAGTATTTGATGTTTTTGATTTATGGAAAATAATAATGATTTTTAAATTACTTTATTTCCACATTTTTTGTCTTTTGAGTATTGTTCTAATTTAATCTATTTTCTTGTCTTTTTAATGCAACCTTAGTCTTAGTGCTTGACTTTGATGAAGTACTTGTAGGGTGGAGAAATTCTTCATCATGAGCAATAATAAAATGATGCCATATTTGTTTTCATTTCTCTCCCTTCCCCCCCATATTTCTTCAATAATTTATGTAGTAATGTTAGAGGTCTGTGATTTGTCCCACAGTAATTTTACATAATTTTGGTATTTCTGCCCATGTTGTAATTGAAAAGTTCTCACTAGACTGAACATGGGAAAGACACTTTAGTTGCAATTATAGAGTCAGCACAGAAGAAGAGGACTACTTTGTTCCTAAACGTGATTGTGAACCATTTATTAATTTGAATAGAAGGAATGCTTTTAAAATATTAAACTCAGTAAGTGCTAATTTGCTAAGTTGATTAGGGAGCATGTTGATATATCAGCTTCAGCCCCAGAAAGCAATTAGTAAGGATGTTTGGAGCATATTGTTGTATGTAATCAGATTTTTTAAATCCATTCATCAATTTCCAAGAATATAACTATATAACTGGAAAGACTTGTGGCTGAGAAATCTGAGTCTGGTTTTGTATTGTTTCAGGATTGGTTGGGGATGGGTCAAGAACAGGAAGAGACAAAGAGTAAAGTAGTTTCTCTAGGGGCTGGGAATAGACTGGGATTTGGATACAACATGGAGGGGTAGCGAGAACAGGACTTTGGGATGGCCCTACCTGGTTTTGAGCTGGAGCTCTGCCACTTAGCTTTCAAATGTACCCTACTTTACCTCTGTCTGTATTTTATCTTCTGAGAAAAATAGCATGTAAGTCCCAAGGCTGTGGAAAGGAGAAAAGGCAGTAGATTTTATAGAAGTACCTGGCACAGTGTTTACAGTTTATTGACTATTAATGCATTATCAAATTCTTAATGCAGACGTACTTGAAAAAAATCATGCTTTGTGTTATAACAACCCAGGTGGAGTTCTTTGATTCTAATAATTCTTACACTTCATGAATCTGAAGGTCTGTTCCATGATAGGACATACAACTATATTGAGCAAACTAGACTATGGAAAACTTGGGGGGATTTAAGACAAGTATTTTATACATGGTGATTATGAAAGAAATAATTTTGTGCAATATTGTCTGTAATATTTGAATATTTTGTGTTGTGTGGTTTGAATTTATAACCTTGAAAACTTGAATATGTAGTGGAACAAAGGAAACATTTATTCCTTCAAAATGAACCTAAATTAGCTTAAAGAATGGCAGAGGGTATCATTTATCATTCAGGAATTAGAAAAAGGTAGTGGTTTCCATAGCCAATTTTCATTTGGACGATTTTCCATTCTCACCTGAAAAGTTCTTTTTCAATTGGTACATAGGACAGTTGGACTCCATTTTTTATTCCGAGTCTATAGGACACTAAAGGGCAGTAAATACTATTCTGACAGCATCATGTGGGACTAAACAAATAGCACCAAAAAAAAAAAAAAGATAATTTTAAGTTCTATAATTAATTTAAAAATTTTGAAAATAAATTGAAAAATTAAATTAAAATTCTTTCATGATTCCACTGACTTGATATAACCATTTTTTAAAATTTGGTATATCTATATTTTTGTATGCATCGGGATTTTTTTATACATATATTTCATTCTCTCTCTCTCCTCAATGAAAGTAGACACTAGAGTACGCTATAGTAAAAAGAGGTCAGCCTTAGCTTCTCATAGACCTTTATTGAAATCCAGGCTGTCCCATTGGGTAGCTAGCTATATGGCTTTCCAAGACTTGATTTTTATAATGTATAAATTAGGGGTTATAAGCTTCCTTTTTCAGTATTATAAGATTAAATATTTGTTATAATTATTAAATGTATGCTAAAGTACTTAGAGCAGTTCTTGGCACATAGTAAGTATTCCATAAATGGTAGCTATAATAATAATATTGGCAATTATTTTATTATTTTTAAAGCTCTTTTAATAATATTATTATATAACTATATCTAAGGGCTACTTCATTTAACCAGTTTCTCATTTTTAAGATTATTAAAGTCAATGTAAATAGCACTTCTTTTGTTTGTAGCTATCCACTTCACTAAGAAGAGTTTTCAAATGCAAAGTACAGGGTTAAATTGAAGAATAATTTTTAAAAATCTACATTGTTAAATGCTTTCTAAGAGTTGTGTCAGTTCACAATTTGTCATTCAGTCTGCCACTTTACCATATTTGCAAAATTATTTAGTATATTTCAAATTAGTTTTGCTATTGTTTTTTAATAGCATGGATATATTTTATTTCTGAAACATCTATATTGAAGTTTTGCTAGTTTTTTTTTTTTTTTTTTTTATCCTCACCCGAGGACATTTTTCCATTTTTTGCACAGATAAGTGAAAGTGATCCTGTTATTTTAATTACTAGTTTAACTAAATGTTTGTCCTTCGATATTATGTCCTCTTTTTCCTGTTACCTTAAATAATTTTTATGTAGACATTTAAAAATATATATTCAGCCCTGGCCGGTTTGGCTCAGCGGTTAGAGCGTCGACCTGTGGTCCTGAGAGACCCAGGTTCGGTTCCCGCTAAGGGCGCGTACCTAGGTTGCAGTTTGTCCCCGGCCCTGGTCGGTCGTGCGGGTGGCAGCCACTCGATGTGTTCCTTTCACGTCGATGTTTCTCTCTCTCTCTCTCTGTTCCTCTCTCTCCCTCCCACTCTACCTGAACAAAAAAATGGGAAAATGTCCTTGGGTGAGGAAAAAAAAAAAAATTAAAAATATATATTCAGATTTGCCTTTTATGATTTTTTTTTCTGTTGCTTCTAAAAAACCTAGAAAATGCAATCCCCTGGTCCCCCCACCCTCCCCCAACCCCATAGATGTTTGATAGGAGTCAGTTCAGTTGTTCAGTTAAAAACATGGTTTGATTGTTAAAATGCTGACCTTGGCCCTGAGCAGTGTGGCTCAATTGGTTGAGTGTTGTCTGTGTACTGAAAGGTTGCTGGTCCCATCCCCAGTCAGGGCACATGCCTGGGTTGCTGGCTTGATCCCCAGTAGGGGGTGTGCAGGAGGCAGCTGATTGATGTTTTGCTCTCATATTGATGTTTCTCTCTTTCTCTCCCTCTCCCTTCCCCTCTCTCTAAAAATTTATAAACTATCCTTTTAAAAAAAATGCTGTCCTTGATTCATTTGTAATATATGAGATGATGAAAAGACCTAAGTTTTATTTTTTTCAAATACAACATTTTTATTGAACTTTTAGGTTCTCTGCCCCTTGATTTATGTCACCTTCTTATCAAATAAACATGTATATTGTGTCTGGGTGTGGGCTGTTTAATCCTTTAAATACTTTTTAACCTAATGAGCATCAAGACTTAATAGTTCCAGAAAAGTTATAAGTTAGTGACAGATCTTTCAGTAAGAGAGTTACCGAAGAGATAGAGATGGGTGAATAAACTTTTTCAGTGTGTGTCCTTTCTCACTTTATGACAGTGATTTTACAAGAGCAAAATAAATATCAAATGGCTACTTTATTTTATTTATTTATTTTATCCTCACCCGAGGACATTTTTCCTTTTTTTTTTTGTTCAGATAGAGAGGGAGGGAGAGAGAGAGAGAAACATCGACGTGAAAGGGACACATCGAATGGCTGCCACCGCACAACCAACCAGGGCCAGGGACAAACCGCAACCGAGGTACGTGCCCTTAGTGGGAGCCACACCCAGGTCTCTCTGGACTGGAGGCCGACGCTCTAACCGCTGAGCCAAACCGGCCAGGACTCAAATGGCTACTTTAAATCCTCTTACTTGTTATGGTCAGTTTATACTGGAAATCGGTCTATTATATTTGTAATCTAAAGATGAAGTTGTGTTTTCTGTTGGGTAGTTGTGGATAATGGTTTCTTTCTGTTTTATTTTGTTGCAATTAGATAAAGGATTCATTAATATCATCCCTATGGCGAATACTACAGTCTTTGTAAACGATGGAGAAAATGTAGACCTAACTGTTGAATATGAAGCATACCCGAAACCTGAACACCAGCAGTGGATATACATGAACAAAACCTTCACTGATAAATGGGAAAATTATCCCAAGTCTGAGAATGAAAGTAATATCAGGTGAGAAAAGGGCCTTTCTCTGGGGATCACACGTGTTTCTTCCTCGTCCACGTGGCTTACCAGAGCCTATTTCTGGGACCCATGCATGTTAGAGAGGACACCTGGCCAAAAAGGAAGTTTGGGGCTGCTTCCTGACGTCCTCATTCCAACATTTCATTTTGCTGTGTGTTTAGGGTGCCTCAGTTTTCTCCTTTGTAAAATAGAGGATAGTTCTTTCCTGGAGTTCTGAGGATACTTCAAAGCAGCGACTTTCATGTCCTAGGGGCACGTTAAATAATCCCCTTCAGAGAAAGGGGAAAGTTAGCACCTTTAATCATTTTTTAAAAAATTATAAGACTGCCCAGCAGAGTGGCTCAATGGTTGAGCATCAATCCATGCATCAAGAGGTCACTGGTTCAATTCCCGGTCAGGACACATGCCCGGGTTGTGGGCCCAATTCCCAGTGGGGGGCATGCAGGAGGTGGCCAATCAATGTTCTCTCTCATAGATGTTTCTACCTCTCCCTCTCCTTTCCTCTCTCTCTAAAATCAGTAAAAAAAAAAACCCAACAACAACAACTATAAGAAACTAAAAATCATTGGGTAGCTTTGGACTGGGCAGGGAACCTCAGCTCTTTTACATCAGATCTCTTGTTTGATCCTCAAAACATTGATAACAAAAATGGTGGCAATAGTAACACTATGCAAGCTGTGTGTGCCTTTTTCTACCTATGCTGTCCTAAGTACCTTTCATATATTTTTATTTATTTATTTTTTAATCCTTACCTGAGGACGTTTTTCTATTTATCTTCAGATAGAGTAGGAGGGAGGGAGGACGGGAGGGAGGGAGAAAGAGAGAGAGAGAGAGATAAAGAGAGAGAGACACACATATCGATTGGCTGCCTCCTGCACGACCCCAACCAGGGCTGAGGATGAACCGCGACCGAGGTACGTGCCCTTGACTGGAATCGAACCCACGACTCTGGTCCACGGGCCGACTCTCTAACCACTGAACAAACCGGCCAGGGCTCTTTCATTTATTAACTCAATACTTTCAGTCCTCCAAAGCCTGTAAGTAGGCACTCTTATTTCCCTTATTTCTATAAAAGAGGAAACTGGGTTAAGGTAGTTTGACCCAGATTAAAGGACCAAAAAGAGGTATGTGCCTAGATGGAGTTTGTATATTTATCCAGTCAGGAACTGTTGGCCATTGTAAGAGTGTGGGTGAGAGAGGATGGTGTTCTGTGCCAAGGCCTAAGGTTGGAGGGAGGAGAATGGATTTGGGAGGTGTCCAGGCTACCTTCTCAACAAGACTCGGTGGTTGAGGGGGGTAGGAGAGAGGGAGGAGCTGAAGATGCCCTTTAGGAGTTTGGGTCCGTCAGCCAGGTTGGGTGGTAAAAGGTGATTCCATTCAAGGAGGTGGGGAGGCTGCAGGCTTGGGGTTTGTTGAATTTGAGGTTGACCATAGCACCTCAAGAGGCAGTGTTCGGGTGGGAAGCATCCAAGTCAGGTTCCCGAGAAGCAAGCCTGAGGCAGGGGTTCTCAGGCAAGGACTCATAAGGGAGAAAGAGACCCGCCAGGGAGTGGGGGAGCAGGGCCGGGAGGGGAAAGGGAAGAAAGGATGTGGGTGAGGTAAAGCTGAGGACAGTCTGACCGCAGGGAGCTCTAAGCTGGGCTGTTGTCCCTCCCCGTGGTCAGTCACCATGGGCTGTAGACCTGGAAGGCAGTCCACTTTCAAGTGTGTCTAGCTGCCCAAGGGCAAGAGGTGGGAGAAGGTTGCTGGTGTGGGTCGTCATTAGCTGCACCCAGGCAGGGGAGATGGTGGCCTAGAAAGAGCCCTGTAGAGGAGGCGGAGGTCAGGGAAGTCTGGACGAGAGGTCAAGGTTTGAAAGTGAGCAAACAAGTAGTTCAGTGTGGGAGTGGATTGCCCAGGGCGCATGTGCAGTGTGAGGAGTGTGAGCACGCCGCTGCATACGCCCAGCGGCCTGCAGCTCGTGGGGGGCCCAGGGCTGCCCAGGGTGCCCGTCCACACTGGAGCCCCCGTCAGTGACTCCCCACAGCCACACATGCTCAGTCTACACAGTCATATCTGGTGGCCCTGCCGTGCAACAGAAACTTGAATAGTAAATACGGCAAAGGAAGCTCGGAAGAAGTCGGGGAGGAGGAACACTAGGGGATCGGGGTGTTGCAGGATGGCAGGTGAAGGCCACACCGTGACCTTGCCTCGAGGGCCCGGCAGTGTCTGCATGGAGACGGCCTGCCAGCCGGAGGTTTTTCCAGGCCAGTGTATTTAAAGCAAAACGGGGCAGGCGAGTCAGGACGGCGGTGAGAAGGTGGTCCTGGGGACAGCGCGGGAGGCGGGAGGGGCGGAGGTGTCTGCGCGGTTGTCTCTGCTGAGAGAGCCTTTCCCTCTATTCTCACACAACAGGCGCTTGTCCCAAATGAAGTGTGCGTGTGTTTGTGTTTGTTAATGCAGATCTTGTTCATACTGAGCTGAGTGAGCTGTGCTTTCCCTAAATAGGCACGTATTTCCAGGTAGAAGCTGGGAAAAACCTGTTTTCAAGGCAGGCCGTCCCCAGTGATTGATTTATTGTCCTCTCTTTGTAGATATGTAAGCGAACTTCATCTAACCAGATTGAAAGGGACCGAAGGAGGCACTTACACGTTTCTAGTGTCCAATTCCGATGTCGATTCTTCCGTGACATTTAATGTTTACGTGAACAGTGAGTAAAACCAGTGGCTCCTTATCTTTTTATTTTTTTATTATTTCAAGTTGTGGCTCGTGTTTGTAACAGCTGCAGGACTGAGCTCATTGTGTACCATGTAAATAATGTTTCATGATAATTTTGACCTTAACAAAGACCCTGTGGTTTGGTGGTTGGGAGAATGTGTACGAAAACCAGTGTCTTGGCCTACATTTCAGTGACCACGGGACTCGGCCGCCCAACTTCTGGGTGCTGCCTTTGAAGTAAACAGAGGAGCCATAGAAGTTAAAAATAACAGTTCTTTGAGGGAATGTGCATTATTGTTGATTGTTGAAATGGGGAGCCAGCCTTGGCCAGTTTGGCTCGGCAGTTAGAGTGTCGGCCCTCAGACCAAAGGGTCTCGGGTTTGATTCTTGGTCAAGGGCCCGTACCTGGGTTGCAGGTTCGATCCCCAGTCACGGTCAGGGTAGTGCAGGAGTCGGCCAATCCATGTGTCTCTCTCACATAGATCTCTCTCTCTCTCTGTTTCTCTTCCCCTCCCTCCCTTCTACTCTATTTAAAAATCAATGGGAAAATATCCTCTGGTGAGGATTAACAAAACAAAAAAAGAAAGAAAGAAGTGGGGAGCCAGAGGTTGAATAGGAGCTAGGCTGACATTTTTTTTTTGTTGTGATGCTTTCTGTTTTGGGGTTGTGATATTTCTTCTGTTGAGATTGTTCTTCCACTAAGATGATACAATGTTGATCCAGCTCAGTGAGTCCCCAGTGAGTACCACCTGGGTGTTATGGGCGAGGGTAGTGGGATGTGATTGTGGGAACCGGAACTCCTGAGTCTTGCCCTGCTGTGGCCTCATCCCCAGCAGGAGACATGTCTCTGCACAGAGGTTAAGGCCAAGGGAATATGATCACCGGCTGGGGTTTTTAACCAGGACAGGGCTTCCTCCTGGCTCTCCTCGGGGCCTGTCTGCAGATCCAGGTGCATGCCACACCACACCAGCCAGGGCACCAGAGGACAGGAGGCCTCCAAGGACAAATTCCAAGGGAGTGGCCCACAAAGTGAGCCACCCTGGGTTTGGGGGGTGACGAGACGACCTGGAACATTCCTCAGAGCACTGTGTGTGCTGGGTGCAGATGGGAGCCAGCTCCTTGTCCTCAGAAGAGGAGCTGCCTGAGGTAGTTTTTATGTCATCATCTCCCTGGTGCCGGAACTCAGTGGTGGGGGGGGGGGGTAGCATGATCCTGGTACAAATGAAGACAATAGACAGCGAGTAAGTGATCCTTGAGGTGTTTTTGATTGCTGGTCTAGAGTCTTTTGACTATGCCAATATCTCCAAAATTGTGTGTTCTGAGCAAGATACGTGTTTAGGTAAAGAGAGTCACATCTGTGCACTCAAACCCTCTTCTTAATTATAGGCCTTGTCAGAATCCTTAATATGCTGAGGTGTGCGATGCCTTGTGGGAGGGAGCAGACATCCCAAGCTTGTTTGACCACAGAAATTTCCTTTTCCAAGGAAATCGTGTTAATTAATATCTTGATTCCTTGGAACAGTTTTAATTATATGGTATCTCATTAGCCCACAATTCAAACATCTCTAGATTAATTCAGATGTTAATCAGAGGAGCTTAGTGTAGTGTAGTACACGTGAGCACAATTACCTGCTTCTGAGAAACCTTAATATTCAGGGAACTGAAGAGATGATTGCAGAAAGCCAGCACCCTGGCAGTCATATGTATATTGTCCAGCAACACTTTATTTGGGGTGCTTTAGTGAGGTGCTTCTCTAACTATCCATGGTGAAGGATTTTTTTTTTTAATTTCCAATTTATCCTGGATTGATACTTATAAAATACATAAGAACTAGTTACTAGAAAAGTGAAGTGAAAAAGAAAGATACAGAAAATAAAAGATTTTTTAAATTCATAGATTCAACAGATACAAAAAATACTGTGTCAGTTGCTCTTTCTGTACTTCCCTCCTGTGGACTAGCAACAGTGGATCTTGGACGTGGCCTCCTCCACAGACTTCACTTGGAGAGGCTCAGTAGTGGGGAATTTTATAAAATTAAGAGCCCTTTTCATCTCTCCCTGGCTTCAAGGCCAAGGAGGCATTAAGAGGTGCCTCTTTGCCCCTTTCATGCTTCCATTTCAGTGTGTGGTCTGCAGGTTGGTTGTGAGTCACTGACCTTGGGAGGACATCTAACAGTCACCTTACTTTTCTCTGGGTAGCAAAATTGCCACCATTTCACTTACCAGGCTAATTTGCCACCCAACAGGATCAGTATTAATCACTTCCGCTGGGAACTCATGCCTGTTTGAAACTAGATAGGAAATGGCATTAACCTCCCCGAATGATCCTCTCTTGGAATTCTGTTAGTGCAGGAGGCCTTCTCTGTGTTCCCAGACCTGGCTGCAGACGCCCACCCAGCTCTGACTGAGCTCCTGATTCACGGCGGTAGGTGGACAGATGAGGGTAGTGTGGGCTCTGCCCTCCTAAGTTAAGCTCTTTAGGAAATCTTTTTATTAATGTCAGTGTGTTACAAACACTACACTGACTAAAGGCATTTAGTTCGCTTTCCTCACACATCAGATTTCTTTATCTCCGGTGCTTTGATAGAGATAGCCTTTTTATGTGACACTTAAACATTTGCCTCTTATGAAATATGTCCCAGTGGTACTTCACAGATATCGTTAGCTCATTTCTAGGTTGATTTTTTTTCATTGAAAATATGAAAAAGTAATCTAGTTATTATGAGACAAGATTGTTTTGATGTTGAAATTTAAAATCAAAAGCTAAAAATAGTTTTAAATTTTAAACTTGTAGCAGTGAAGCCCGGCCGGTGTAGCTCAGTGGATTGAGCGTCGTCCCATGGACTGAGAGGTCTGAGTTCGATTCCTGGTCAGGGCACATGCCAGGGTTTTGGGCTTGATCCCCAGTAGAGGGTTTGCAGGAGGTAGCCAGTGGGTGTTTCTCACATCCATGTTTCTAACTCTCTCTCCCTTAAAAAAAAAATTAATTAAAATTGTAGCAGTGGTGTCCATTTTGACACAACATTTTAGAGTATATAGATCTATTGTGTGGTTTACTCTGTAAATAAGCTTAGCCCCAAGGATGAAAGAAATTATACTCTGTAAAAAATAGAATTAATAAAAATCAGAATAATAAATGAATAGTATTAGAAATAAATGAATAGAAATTCAGGTTACTTTTATCAGTGATGTTGATGCCTAATTGCTTAATGGATTCAGCTTTGAGAAATACTCATGAAAATCTTTGATTTTGAATGGTTAAATGCTTCATGGTTGAAAAATCAGTTTTGAAATTTTCATATGTAGATTTGGGTGTGTGGAGAAAGAGTTGTTTGTTTTTTTGTTTTTTAAACACTTAAGTGACTTAAAAAATCATGTTCTGTCAGTTTGTGTTAAAGTACCAAATGTAACATGTGAAGCTCAAAATTGTTTTAATATACTGTCTTTCATCTGTCTAAGTTGGCTCAGTGACATTAAAGGTGGTTTATAACGGCAAAGAACTGTTACATTTTTAAGCAGAACTTTCAGTGGAAATTAATGGGTGTTTTTATTAAAAACAAAACAAAAAGATTCATGATTTTTTGCCCTGAACTTGCATTACTATAATTACTCTTGCATTGCTTATCGAAGACTTTTATAGCAATCGGTTTCTTCGTTCTAAAAGTTTGATGTCTTTTGGTGAAAATGGCCATTTGTTTTTCTTGCAGATCAAAATTGGGAGAAAAATAGAGTTCTAAAAACTTCAGAAAGTATCCCCAAGTGACATCACAAGAATCTATAGGTAGCTTGTGATACTTTTTTGGAAACCTACATTCTCTTAGGTTGAAATAAATGTCACACAATAAGGTTTTTACCATAACCAGGCACAAAGAAAAGGCCAAATGTGTATCTTAACACTAATTTATCCGCGTGGCTCTTTGCCCTCTCTACCCAAAATTTCTTGAATTCATTTCAGGCTTTATAGTGGACTTAAATGTTAATTGGTAATGTAAATAAGTGTTAATCGGTAATGTAGATATTTAATAAGTTTAATTTGGCTTATAAGTTCAAATATCCCATGTGAATTTTGAAATAATTCACATAATCGTGGAAAGAAATTATGACAGACATGATAAATCAATTGTTTTTCAAACCTCTGGAATAATTTAAGAAGATCCAGTAACCTTTTTTCTTTTCTTTTCAGCTTTATGAGGTATACCTGACAAATAAAGTTGTGAGATATTTAAAGTGTACAGCATAATGATTTGATCTATGTATACCACCTTGTGAAAGGATTTCCCATCTCGAGTTAATTAACACACCCATCACCTCCCAGATTTGCCCTCTTTGTTGTGTTGTGTTTTGTTTTGGTGAACACATTTACGTTCTTCTGTCTTGGCAAGTTTCGGTTATGCACTGCAGTGTTATCCGCTGTCGGCACCACACCGAGCATTAGATCCTCAGGCCTTATGCAGCTTAGAACTGAGAGTTTGTATCCTTTTGCCAACCTCTCCCTATTTCCCCCACCCCCATCCCCTGGCAACCACTTTTCTGCTCTGTTTCTGAGTTTAACATTTTTTTTTTTAAGATTCCACATATAAGCGATACCATGCACTATGTGTTTTTCTCCATCTGGCTTATTTTACTTAGCATAATGCCCTCCACTTTTATTCATGTTGTCACAAAAGACAGGATTTTCTACTCCTTTAAGGCTGAATAATATCCGTTGTATATATATACCACATTTTCTTCCTTTTCTTTTTTATTTAGTATGTTTTATTGATTTTTTTTTTGAGAGAGAGTAAGAGAGAGAGAAACATCAATGTGAGAGAGAAACATTGATTGGCTGCCTCCTGCACGCCCCCTACTGGGAATCGAGCCCACAACCCAGGCATGTGCCCTGACCAGGAATCCAGCTGTGACCTCTCAGTCCATGGGACGAGACTCAACCCACTGAGCCACACTGGCTGGGCTATATACCACTTTTTTTTTTAATCCTCACTCAAAGACATTT